TACGAGTGCAATTGAGTGAACTAACGAGAATTGCACTATCGAAGCAAGAGTACAATGAGCGAAGGCATGAGCGAAGAATATATAGCGAAACTATACTGGTAACGGTAATGGACTGTAGGTTGCGCGCGACGGGCCTGGGTGGACTGAGGTTGGGAAAAGTGTCAAGCGGAAGCGGAGCGGCCCGGAGCGCGGTTACCCGCTGAGCCGTGAGGTCGGGGTGCGATGTGCGAAGGTGGCGGGCGGATTGTCGATGCGAGGGTTGCGAGTGGTAACGGTGCTGACTGTGGTGCTATAGTGATGTACGCGTTGAGCAGGGATGCGAAGTAAGGAAAAGGATTTTTCCTTAGAACAAGTCAAAGTTCTAGCAAGGTGATTGGAAAACCAAGTGTGGACATGGTAGCTGATCAGTGCTCACTGATTCCTCGAATTCCGGAACCGTGGATCGGTTCTGAGCCAAAGGAGTTCCTTCCCGCGTCCAGGTAGGTCAGTGAAATTCCAGAAATTTCTCACCACGTAATCAAATGTTTCGTCAGGACCACAACCTTTTCCAGATGGATTTGCCCAACTCCAACCATTTTTTCCAAGTAAGGTTCTCGTCCCCTCAACCAGTAAATCTCCCTTCCACATCAGAAAAGATGTATCCTTGTTCCATCTAACAAACTTGAAAAGCGTCTTAAGTTAGAAAATAATCCTGGGCAGGGCAGTCTTGATCCTTCTTCAGAAAGACATCTGTGATTCGAAAACCACAAATCTGGAGAAACCTTGGAGTTGTCCTTCAGAGAAACCTTGAATCGCTTTTCAAAGGGAAGACTCGAAGTTCTTCCACTTCTGTTGTCAGGAGAATCAGGAAGATAAATCACGGATCAGGCCCCTTATTTTTTGGGACAGGCTGTAGGGTGGTGTGACTGGCGGTAAATCCTGGAATGCCCGGCTTAGCTCTGGACAAAGCCATGGTTTCGAAATCAGCTAAGGATGAGGTTTCCGTTAAGTCCAAGTTCATGCGACGGCTAGCGGCGAGCGACGAGGCGACGAGGGACCAGGCTTTCGAGGTCTTGTCACGATGGCTTGTCGCTCGCAAGGAGATCGCCGAAGACGATTTTCTGAAAATCTGGAAGGGCTTGTTCTATTGCATGTGGCATTCGGACAAACCGCCAGTTCAGGCGAACCTCGCGGAAAGAATGTCCGGTATTCTAATCTCGCTCGACCCTGACCTCGCGCTGCTATTTTCTGCGAACCTTCTGGAAGACGATGCGACGGGAATGGGGAGGAATCGACTACCATCGCCTGGATAAATTCTATATGCTCGTCCGCCTGGTCATGCGAAACATTCTCGAGTATCTGGAGAAACGGGAGTGGGAGGAAGAGGTGGTTTCGGATCTTGCTGCGTGCGTCATGCAACAGGGCTTCTTGCTAAGGACAAGTATCGGGCTATCGGTCTCGAACTGCATTTACTGGATATTTTCAACGAGCTCTTTAAAAAGTCTGGAGGGGGTGACGTCAGAGTGGTGAAGGCTGTTCTGCAATTTTCGAAGCCAGTGGTGGGTGTGATTCAAACGAAGGAGGACGGACGATTGCACAAGCGGGCACTGAGTTTCCGTGTTTTCGGGGCTGGCGGAATATCTACGCAACGAAGCGAAGGCAAACGCGAGCGAAGCTTCGTACGTCGCTGCGCTTCAAGAGGCGGCGGCCGAGATGTCCGCTGATATCAAAGCAGCGCACGGCACGGCGAAAGGAAAAAGAAAAGCATGCTTCGGAAAGGACAGGCGATTTTCACGGCGCTGATAAACGAATTGTTGTCTGGGAGTGATCCTGCTGAAGAAGGGGAAAATGGGGAAGGGAAGAGGAAGATGGAGATGATATGCAGGTTTAGAAGAAGACGGCGCTGCTGGCGGAAAGGACGACCCTGGTGATGGTGAGGGAGAAGAGATGGAAGAAGGGGAAGAGGAGGAGGGAGAAGCAGGGGGACAGGGTTCAGGGGAGGGTTCAGGGGACGAGGAGGATGGGGAAGAGGAGGACGGGGAAGAGGAGGACGGGGAAGCGGAGGGCGGGGAAGAGGAGGACGGAGAAGAGGAGGATGGGGAAGAGGAGGACGCGGAAGAGGAGGACGCGGAAGCGGAGGACGCGGAAGCGGAGGATGGGGAAGAGGAGGATGGGGAAGAGGAGGACGGGGAAGCTAATGCGGAGCAGCAGAATGGCGTGAAGGAGGAAGTTTGTGGTGGGGAGCATGATGACGAGAAAGCAGAAGCTGCTGAAGTGAAACTTAGTGAGCAATCAGGAAAGAAACAGCACGGGGAGAAGCAGCAGGACTCAACCGCCAAGCGCAAGAGGCAGCCAGCAGCAGCAGCAGCAGCAGCCACAGCAGGGCAGTGGTCCGGGCAAGAACGCAAGGGAAAGAAGGATGCCGTGGCAAAGGGAGCAGAGAGTGCCGAGAGGAAGGAGCAGCAGACGGTGCAGGGACAAGCAGCCGTAGACTCGTCATCATCAGCAGCTGCAGACCCTATCCCCACTGCTGCAACAGCTACCCTACGATCAGTGCTGGTGCACCCCGCATCTGTCAATAAACGCCAAGACAGAAGGACCGGGCGGCGGCGGAGCGGCAGACGAAGAGGAAGCAGACGGGTTCCGAACGCCAGAGAAGACACATCATAGACGCTTCTCGCACTTTGATTTCCCCCAGGATCTTGCCACAGGTGCTGGGAGCGTGGGTGCTCGGATCATGGCTGCAGGCGAATCCGCCGCTGCTGCTGCCGCAGCAGGAAGCGAGGCAGGAGGTCCGGTGACCCGATCCAAGGACGGGAGAACAGACGCCGAAGCAGTCGGCGTGCAGTCAGCTCCGGCGGGCAAGGCCGGTGGCGCTGCAGGCAGGCGGAAGAAAAAGGTGAAATTCGTTCTAAGCCGCAATCTGGAGATGGCAAAGGGAGGTCCGGTGCCCCCTCCTGCTGTGCGCACACCACCTGCTTCCCCCCCAAAGGCAGTGCACTCAAGCCCGGACTAAGCCGGGGCCAATCAACATGCGCATGCTCATGGCTACTGCAGACACGAGCCCCTCGCAGATGACTGCCTCTGGGCGGAAGAAGGTGGATAAAGCTGCCCGCTCGCCTGCTGCCAAGTCCCCTTCTGCTGTGTCGCTGCGCCTGGTTAATTTCCTGAAGTGAGTCGCTGCCAGTGTGGCATCAGGAGCGAGGCAGCCTTGCTAGGATGCTGCTAGGATGCTGCACTGCTGCTTTGTTGCTGACTGAAGAGAGATTGGGTAATTGTTCCTAGTATCGGTCCTTGAGTATGGGTCTCTGGGTCATGTCTGTCAGCCGCTCATTCAAACTATTTTAAACTCTACTTAAAGCCCGAGTACAGCATGGTAATTTTCAAGTTCAAGATTCTTGAACTTGAAGTCTCCAATAACAGGGTTACCCTACTTGTTTTGAGAAAATTCTCGCGACCCCAGGCAATCGTCCTGCGACAACGGAACCCAGAACTGACGTGATGATAGCCAACCATTTATACTATTCACCACTCGCATAAGTAGTACTCATAGGCTAGGAGGCTCCAAGGCAAAAGCTAGCGCTAGTTGGCAAAAGCGAGTCGTTGATAAGTGTTCTTTTTTGTGCGGAAGGAAATATAAGTCCACCTCACCCATCTTACCGTAGTCAGTGCACGCTCTAATCTCTCCCTCACGTCACCGGTCTCGTGTTACAACCCGTACACCCCACGGCACTTAAGTTAGTAAACGAGATTCGCGTTACTCGAGTCTTGCATTCAAGCTCGCGTCGCACACGCAGGATCTTGTCACACTGGAAGCCGGCCAAGGGGGTCGACAAGAAGAAGTCGACCAAGGACAGTGGTCGAGGAGGAGGAGGTCAACGTCGGGAGTGCTGGCTGTGCGGCGACCCTGACCACCTCTCCTTCGAGTGCCCCGACCGCAGTGACTCCGACGACGACGACGCCAAGGGAGGCCGCGGGAGGTCTGGCAGTCGTCGTCCTCGTCGGAGGAAGCGCACAGAAGCAGCGCAAGGAGAAGCAGTCGACGACGTCGAACTCGGCGAAGGACGCCGACTCCTTTGCAGGCGGCAAGGGGCGGGACGATCGTCGACCGTTTTAGCACGGGTCGCCCACGCGAATGCGTATTCAGTACTGGCGTCGCGTAACCTCACTCAGCCGTTAGTCGCACATGTTCCTCCTCGTCGCCGCCGCTCTTGCCCACGTCAGACCGCTTTCCTCGTCGCCCGCGCCTTTCGAGCTTTCCCTAATTACCCTCCCCCGACCCTTGGTCGCATATGTTCCCGTAGTTGCCCCGCTCTCCCACGTTAACCACACATCCCCTCGTCGCAATTGCTAGTAGTAAACATACCGCGCTTCAGATCGTCACCCGCGCTCCCCTCATCCCCTCGTCGACCCACACCGATCCTCTCGCGCCCTCACCTCCCTTGGTCACACAACATTCCCTCTCGTCGCTCGCACTTCCCCTCATCACCCGTGCCGTGCCTGACCCTCGCCGCCCTCCCGCCTCCCCTCGTCGCGCCCGCACGTCCCGTCGTCGGGCTTGCCTCCCAGTCACTCGCGCTTCCCTCCCATCATCCGCGTTTCCTTCCGCTCTTCCCCCTCTCCCCATCTCACCATCTCCAGCCCCATCCTTTCCTCCCTCATTCCTTCCGAAGGGGTGGGACAGATGGGAGAACAGATGGGGGGAGAACAGAGAGGTGGTCCCTTTCCTTCGCCCCCACAATCGAACAGCGTTTTGATTCCCTCTCTGCTCCCCACCATCCTCCCCCCAGCTCTCTCCCCGGCATCTGCCCTCCGTTACCCCCATCCTCTTCCCTGTTTCCCCGTATCCCCTGCCGTGCTTCCCCCCATCCTATCCCCTCTTACCCCCGTATCCCCTGCCCTGCTTCCCCCCATCCCCTGCCCTGCCTTCCCCCATCCCCTTCCCTGCTTCCCCCATCCCCTTCCCTACTTCCCCCCATCCCCTTCCCTGCTTCCCCTCATCCCCTTCCCTGCTTCCCCTCGTCCCCTCCCCTGCTTTCCCCCATCCCCTTCCCTGCTTCCCCATCATCCCCTTCCCTGCTTTCCCCCATCCCCTCCCTGCTTCCCCCCATCCCCCTCCCTGCTTCCCCCCACCCCTTCCCTGCTTCCCCCCCTTCCCTTTCCCTGCTTCACCCCATCCCCTCCCTGCTTCCCCCCATCCCGTCCCTGCTTCCCCCCATCCCCTTCCCTGCTTCCCCCCATCCCCTTCCCTGCTTCACCCCATCCCCTTCCCTGCTTCCCCCCATCCCCTTCCCTGCTTCCCCCCATCCCCTTCCCTGCTTCACCCCATCCCCTTCCCTGCTTCCCCCCCCCTCCCCTGCTTCCCCCCATACCCCTCCCTGTTTCCCCCCATCCCCTTCCCTTCTTCCCCCATCCCCTCCCCTGCTTCCTCCCATCCCCTTCCCTGCTTCACCCCATCCCCTTCCCTGCTTCCCCCCATCCCCTTCCCTGCTTCCCCTCGTCCCCTCCCCTGCTTTCCCCCATCCCCTTCCCTGCTTCCCTCCATCCCCTTCCCTGCTTCCCCCCATCCCCTGCCCTGCTTCCCCCCATCCCCCTCCTGCTTCCCCCCATCCCCTTCCCTGCTTCCCCCCTTCCCTTTCCCTGCTTCACCCCATCCCCTCCCCTGCTTCCCCGCATCCCGTCCCGTGCTTCCCCCATCCCCTTCCCTGCTTCCCCCCATCCCCTTCCCTGCTTCACCCCATCCCCTTCCCTGCTTCCCCCCATCCCCCTCCCTGTTTCCCCCATCCTCTCCCTTCTTCCCCCCATCCCCTCCCCTGCTTCCTCCCATCCCCTTCCCTGCTTCACCCCATCCCCTCCCCTGCTTCCCCCCATCCCGTCCCGTGCTTCCCCCCATCCCCTTCCCTGCTTCCCCCCATCCCCTTCCCTGCTTCACCCCATCCCCTTCCCTGCTTCCCCCCATCCCCTTCCCTGCTTCCCCCCATCCCCTTCCCTCCTTCCCCCCTGCTGCCTCCCATCACTCTCATTCTCCTTCCTCCCGCACTCACACACTCTCAGTCCTCTTGCCTCTCTCTCTCCGTCCTCTCAGCACTCGCACTCCTCCTCACCACCACCCTCAGCCCTCCTTCCCCTCACACCCACCCATGTCCCACCTGCCTCCCCATCCCCTGCCTGTCCCTCCCTGCCCTGCCCTTCCTTCTCCATCCCTTCTCAAAGCCTTCCCTTTCAATGTCATGCCCTCACCTTCCCCCTCATCTTCCGCCCTCCAGTTACCATGCATGTGCACCCATCACTGTCTCCCCATACCGGTACATGCTTTCATCATGTGCGCTGCTTGTGTTCCCCTGCAGTTGTTCCCTTGGCACCTCACACCACTTCCCCCATGTTCCATCACACAATTCTTCTGCCTACTCCACTCTCCAAATTTTCAGTGTCAAGCAGAGGGAGCAAGCTGAGGCGCAGCTAGAGCTAGTCCATGCTTTACGCCGTACCACCACCTGTTTCTTGTGTGTTGTATGCAAGCATGATACTGTATTACTGTTGGAGATATCCATTTCAAAAGCGCAATATGTTCCTGCAGGTGCAATATATTCTTCCAAGATGCATGGGCAAGAGTGTCAGAAGGGTAGATAGAGGCATGATTCTACTTTTGATTGTACCCTCCTCAAGGACTTGAAAAAAAAAATGAGGAATGGGATGATGGGCTTCGGCGAGTTTCAGTGCCATAAAATCTTCATTGGTGTCACTTCACTACCCAGGGAGAGGGAGGGAATACGAGGGATGGGGAGGGGGAACAAGACTAAAGTCAAACAGGGGAGATAGGGAAGAGGGGGGAGAGGAAAGCAGGGCTGAGAGGGAAAGACATAAGTATGAAAATAAAGGAGGATAGGGAAGAGGGGAGATAGGAAGAGGGGGAGAGGGAAAGTGTGAGATAGGAAGATGAAAACAAGGTGAAGAAGAGGGGGAAACGAGGGGAAGCAGGGGGGGAAACGAGGGACAGCAAGGGGGAAACGAGGGAAGCAGGGGGGGAAACAAGGGAAAGCAAGGGGGGAAACGAGGGGAAGCAGGGGGGGAAACCAGGGAAAGCAATGGGGAAAATGAGGGGAAGCGGGGGGGGTGGGGGGAGGAAATGAGGGGAAGTTGGGGGGGAAATGAGGTGAAGCAGGAGGGTACAAACAGAGATAGCAAGGAGGGAAATGAGGTGAAGCAGGGAGGGAAATGAGGTGAAGCAGTGAGGGAAATGAGGTGAAGCAGGGAGGAAATGAGGTGACGCAGGGAGGGAAATGAGGTGCAGGAGGGAAATGAAGTGAGCAGTGAGGAAATGAGGTGAAGCAGGGAGGGAAATGAGGTGAAGCTGAGGGAAAGGGTGAATCAGTGAGGAAATGAGGTGAAGCAGGGAGGGAAATGAGGTGAAGCAGGGAGGGAAATGAGGTGAAGCAGTGAGGGAAATGAGGTGAAGTAGGGAGGGAAATGCGGTGAAGCAGTGAGGGAAATGAGGTGAAGCAGTAAGGGAAATGAGGTGAAGCAGTGAGGGAAATGAGGTGAAGCAGTGAGGAAATAAGGTGGAAGCAGTGAGGGGAAATGAGGTGAAGCAGTGAGGGGAAATGAGGTGAAGCAGTGAGGGAATGAGGTGAAGCAGGGAGGGAAATGAGGTGAAGCGGGAGGGAAATGAGGTGAAGCAGTGAGGGAAATGAGGTGAAGCAGGGAGGGAAATGAGGTGAAGCAGTGAGGGAAATGAGGTGAATCAGTGAGGGAAATGATGTGAAGCAGTGAGGGAGGTGAGGTGAAGCAGTGAGGGAAATGAGGTGAAGCAGGGAGGGAAATGAGGTGAAGCAGTGAGGGAAATGAGGTGAAGCAGGGAGGAAATGAGGTGAAGCAGGGAGGGAAATGAGGTGAAGCTAGTGAGGAAATGAGGTGAAGCAGGGAGGGAAATGAGGTGAAGGAGTGATGGGAAATGAGGTGAAGCAGGGAGGGAAATGAAGGTGAAGCAGTGAGGGAAATGAGGTGAAGCAGGGAGGGAAATACGGTGAAGCAGGGATGAGGGGGAGAAAGGGTGGGCCATGGGCGTAGAGCATAGGGCGCAGAGCATTGGGGCGCAGAGCATAGGGCGCAGAGCATGGGGAACAGAGCATAGGGCGCAGAGCATGGGGCGCAGAACATAGGGCTGCAGAGCATGGGGCGCAGAGCATAGGGCGCAGAGCATGGGGCGCAGAGCATAGGGCGCAGAGCATTGGGCGCAGAGCATGGGGCGCAGAGCATGGGGCGCAGAGCATAGGGCGCAGAGCATTGGGCGCAGAGCATAGGGCGCAGAGCATGGGCGCAGTGCATAGGGCGCCGAGCACAGGGCGCAGTGCATAGGGCGCAGAGAATAGGGCGCAGAGCGCAGGGCTCATAGAGCAGAGCGCAGGGGGCAGAACGCAGGGGGCGGAGGGGGCAGAGCGCAGAGTGCAGGGGCGCGGAGCACGTGTACCTGTCCTGGCGTGGTGGTGCCTCGTTCTAGCGCCCTCTCCACACTGCTATTCGAATAGAATAGTGCGCGCGCTGGACGTTTGTGAGTTGACGCGCTGCTAGACGACCAGTGGCGTGAGCTGCGCGTAAACCGGTGAGGGGGATGTTCGTCTCTGTATTTCGCGCGCTGCTACCCGCCCGTGGGCGCCCGGTGGCTGACAGAGTATAATTGCGTAACCCTAAGGGTATGCGTATTGTGGACGCCCCCAGCGTGGCATTGCCCTAAGTAATAGGCGCTTTCGAGCCCAATATACGTTCGCAATGCCCCGAAACCGTCGACTTACGTGCTGCCAGAGGCAATCGATGTGCCAGAGGCAATCGATGTGCCAGAGGCCATATCGCGCTGTGTCGCGCTCTTCTCAACGCTCCTTCCTGCGACTCAGCATGTACGTTTTCTGGCATGTCACCTTCGTTTTGCACGTTTCCTTGTTGTTAGCTCCTGCGGTTATTTCACACGAAGTAGTTAGCTTGATTGATAGTGGTGTTCTTTCTCCTGACTCGTGTTGGTGCTTCCCGTTTTCGTTTTTGCTAGTAGTCGCATTGTGCGTGGACCTTCTCCAGCTACTTGAACCTGATTGGCTGAAGAACAATCCTTGCGACACTCCTTCCAGTCGCTCCACAGTGCTTGCAAATCCGTCAAAGCTGCACAGTGTCGTTCACCATCACTTCACGTTGTTGGGCTGAAAAAGCCCTCAGGATCTTTGCAGGGGTGAACTCTGGGTAGAGTTGGTGTAGTAGCGGAAGCGTTAATAAGGAGTTGTGAACCACCTTGTGTCAAACATTATATATGTTGTGCTTGTTTAAGCTACAGTGGGTTAGCCTATAGGGGGTACACAATTCTAGGGTTAGGTACTTGTACTGATTTCACTGTTAGTTCAATCATTCCTGTTCATTCATTTCAACATGGTATAGAGCAGGTCCTTCCTAGGACCGATTTTTTAGGGCCCACCACTACCTACCTACCCCTACCTACCTGCGCCCTAGGGCGCCTCGGTTTTCACGGCCCTCTGAGGCCCCGCGACCCGCGACCCGCCCCTTAGCGACTCGCGCGCCGCCCCTTAAGGCCCCGTCGGCCCACGCGCTCGCCCTTAGCGGCCCCTTACGGCCCCGCGCTCGCCCCTAGAGGCCCCAATCGGCCCCCTGCGCTCGCCCGTAGCGGCCCCTTACGGCCCCCGCGCTTCGCCCCTAGAGGCCCCGAACGGCCCCGCGCTTGCTCTTAGCGGCCCCCTTACGGCCCCCGCGCTCGGCCCCTAGAGGCCCCGAACGGCCCCGCGCTCGCCCTTAGCGGCCCCTTACGGCCCCGCGCTCGCCCCTAGAGGCCCCGATCGGCCCCGCGCTCGACCCTTAGCGGCCCCTTACGGCCCCGCGCTCGCCCCTAGAGGCCCCGAACGGCCCCCCCCCAGAACGAGCCGCCCGACCCGAGCAGCCCGAACCGAGCCACCCTGCCCGAACCGAACCGCCCGAACCGAGCCGCCCAGCCCGAACCGAGCCGCCCGAACCGAGCCGCCCGAACCGAGCGCCAGCCCAAACCGAGCCGCGCCGCCCGAACCTAGCCGCGCCGCCCTTCCCGAGCCGCGCCGCCCTACCTGAACCGAGCCGCGCCGCCCGTACTGGACCGAGCCGCCCTACCTGAGTCGCACTGCCTACTGTTTTTGGGGTGCCCCTACTGCTATTACTCCTACTACTGCTATGGCTAGCCCTCCTGTACTGGCTTTCGATGCTGAGGGCCGCCCAGTGAAGTTCGAAACCTGGCTAGATGATCTACACCTCGTCCTACAGCTCACTGCCAAGGAGGACATCTCACTGTACGATCACGCCCTAGGCCATGCTCCTGCTCCTGCTGCTACTGCTGACAGCACTGCCCGCCTCACAGTGGCAGACTCGTGACGCCCACGCTCGCTTCGCTATTCGCAACTCCCTGCCGATAGATGAGCGCGAGCACTTTGGGCAGCACAAGACTGCACAGGCACTGTACACTGCTGTCGTTGCCCGCTACTCCTCACCGGCCTCTGCTGCACTAGGCCGTCTCTCTCTTCCCTACCTGTTCCCCGACTTAGCCTCTTTCCACACAGTCGCTGACCTCATTACGCACCTCCGCACTAGTGAGGCTCGCTTTCCGCGCCGCTATGCCTGATGAGTTCCTTGTCAAGAACCCACCCCCACTCATGCTCACTCTCTACCACCTAGTCACCCGCCTCCCTGACACTCTGCGCTCAGTCAGGGACCACTTCCTAGCTCGCTGCCCCACTGAGCTCACCATTGCCCTCCTCGAGAAGGAACTCCTTGCAGCTGAGGCTAGCATAGTCGCTGTAGGTGCCTCTCGTGGCGACCCCCGTACCCCGTTCTTTGAGGGGTGTTCTCCTTCCCCCCTTCTTCCCTCTGTCGCCTCTGCTGCTGCTGTCGACCTCCTTGGTGCTGAGAATGTCAGGACTGCGTCTGCTTCGAGCGGGCGCCGCAGCGGCAAGGGCAAAGGGGGCAAGGGCGGTGGCGGTGACAGCGGGGGAGGCGGTGGTGGGGGCGGTGGTGGCGGTGGGGGTGGTGGCGCGACTGGAGGGGCTAGTGGCAGCGGTGGGGGTGGTGGCGGCAGCGGCGAGGGAGGTGGCAGGGGCGGAGGCGGTGGTGGGGGTGGCGGTGGACGCGGCGGCGGCAGGGGTTGGGGTGGTCGAGGAGGTGGCGGCGGTGGTGGTGGTCGTGGAGGCGCTGGCGGTGGCCAGAACCAGCAGCAGACTCCGTCGCCCCAGGAGGTCTGTGAGTGGTACTCACAGCACGGGGGAGGGGGGTGGCTTTAGCTGCAGGTACGTCATTCGCACTGGTGACCGCACTGGTCAGCCGTGTGGGGGACCGCACGCCACACAGCGCTGCTTCGCTCGTCTCAACGACGCTTGGCGTGTTCAGTTCCCTCAGGCCACTGAGCTGCCCCGCTGGGTTGATCTCCTGAAGAAGGGGATTGATATCTAT